ATATCATTTTCGAGGATTTGATTATTCCTACCCTCTGTGCTAAAACATGGATGCTGAGGCCGGTAAGTATAACGATAGTCAAGAGACTTCTCCCGGAACTGTCCGACTGCAAGCCCGCGATGACGACCTTATCCTTTCGCCGCGGCCAAGTTCAGACCCGAACGATCCTCTAGTAAGTGTTTGAAGTCGAAGAAACATCGGAATCTAATCAGGGCGTATAGAATTGGGCTCCCTGGAGAAAATGGCTGCAAATTGCTCTCCTGAGTCTCTACACGGTTCTTGTAGATGCATGGTAAGATTGATCCGCTGGCGAGATTCCCCAGGCTAATCTATCGTTCCTAGTCTGGTGGTTGCAACGCCGATGTGGGCGGTAATGAACAAAGATCCCGGCTTCTCGTATACCGCCTTGAATGATAGCTATGCGGTTGCTACGGGTGCTTTGGCCCTTGGATGCTTTATTCTCGTCCCGTTCGCGCTTCGCTACGGCCGGCGACCAATCTACATCCTGACCTCGGCTATTGTGACCGGAATGGGTGCTTGGTCCGCGGCTATGACAACCACGGGAGAGTTATACGCGACTCAGGCCATAATGTGCTTCGTCGGTGTGGTTAACGAGACACTGTTCGAGATTTCGGTATACCTCCTTTCAGTTTGTCTTCTCCCTGTCAATTGCTTACCTGAAACCACAGGTCGCAGATATGTTCTTCGTCCATGAGCGTGGTACTTTCAATGGTGTCTACTATGCGATGGTGGTGATCGGGGTATAGTATTTTAGCATCGTTTCAGTTACCCTGGACTAACCTCTTACAAGAACTTTTTCGCACCTGTGCCAGCGGGCTACGTGACTGCATCCCAAGGGTGGCGGTGGGGCTATTGGTATGTCGCGATATTCAATGGAGCATTGACTCTAGCCATGATATTCTTATTGGAGGAGACAAAATATGTCCCGAGCATGGTTATTGAAGGATCTGCTATTGCCGAAAACCCGGAGAGTCCTGAAGAACAAAATCCAGAGAAAGCCAAACCAGCCCCCAATGACGGAGTCTCCAGCGAGTCTGAAAATATCACCAGCTCACATAAACGTCGGCATATCGACTCCACAATTCCAATCAAGCCGTACTGGAAAAGAATGAGCCTAATAGCGACAACACCATCGAGCTTACAGCATGAAAACCACAACTTTGCAAGACATTTCTGGCAGCCGTTTGTTGTTCTCTGTCTCTTCCCTGCTATCGCTTTCGGTGCCCTCCAATGGGGGTTTGCGTTTTCCTCCTTATCAGTCATGCTGGTTACCCAGGCAGCTTTCTATCCGGCTCCTCCTTACAATTTCAGCCCGATCGGAGTTGGAAATGTGATCATCGCACCTGCGATTGGCGGCATCCTAGGTTCTATCGTTGGAGGGATTGCGACTGATTGGCTTATCTTGAAACTAGCCAGACGGAACAAGGGCATATATGAGCCCGAGATGCGGCTCCAGATGTTCATTGTGCCGGGCGTTGCTTTACCGGTTGGAATATTCATGTATGGCCTAACAATTTCCACGGTAAGACGGTCCACACCAGATGATATGATAGTGAGGCTAATGACAATCAGGGTCTTCCTTGGATCATTAACTGTGTCGGCGCCGGGTTTGTTGGATTTGGGATCGGAGGCTGTGGAACGATTGTGGTCACATACATCCAGGATTCCTACAGCAAGGTATGTTCTCCTATCGCTTTACCATAATCCATCACGACATATAATAATTATCAATTTAGATTATTGGCGATGGTTTCGTCGGAGTCACGTTCGTGCGGAATCTCCTGGCTACAATCTTTGTCTTCGCTATTCCTGCATGGGAGGATGGAATGGGCGCATACAACATGTTTGTCCTTTTGGGATGCTTAGCTGTACTTGTCGTTGCGACCTATGTTCCTATGCTGATCTGGGGAAAGAAGTGGCGCCGTCAATATGCGTCACGGTATGAGTTTTATGCCCGTCGGCAATATGAAACCCGCCCTGAGTGAATCGGTAGGTGGTCCTTCAATTAGGACTCCTGCGGTCACTAGATTTTCTTTTCTATCATTTTTCTCCCATGTTAGAATACAAGATTCGAACAATAACTATCAATAGTTCTCTTGCATATGAATTGCTACTTACCTAGTATCTAGGCCTTCAAGATTACCCAAACTTACTTCATCTACGAAGTGACACCCAAGGAATGATCATGCTTCAGCAAATATGTATTTGACTAGTAGTGATTCAATTCAGGCCCTGAAAACAGGAGGAACAATTGATAAGAGAGTAGGTAAGAACTGCATGTGCATAGCCGGATGCACACCAGAAACCCCGAAAAGAAAATGAGTGAGTGACGGGCAGCATTGCAGTTGTCCGATGTTTCCTTGCATTTCAATCCATCTCAATCTCGACGCTGATTTCAGCAATAAACGAACGTGTGTCCTGGGTCAAAAAGAAACCCCTGCTTGTAATACAAAGCTGACTGGGACAAATCGAGGATAAAAAGAATAAGAATAAGGGGAGTCGAAAACGAAGAATAGAAGAAAAAAGTCATTTCAGAATGATCCGGGTCTTTCATCAAGCGAATATCGGGGCTGACAATGTGGACACTTGTCAAGAATAAGAATAAAAAGAATGGATAGAGCCCAAAGTCCTCCCATCGGAATATCCGACGCGAAACGAGAAAGAAAAACAGCCAACCAGAAGAATAAAAGAAAGGTCATACGTCGCTTGTCACATGAGGGGGAGATCGGCATTACATGAGAGGGGTCTTCCGTTTTTCAGCGCTAGAGAGCACGAGCATCGGCGTCTTGCGCCGTTCAGGTGCTTGGGCCACAGGCCCCTGGCCAGCCACGACGGCCGCCACGGAGGGGGATGAAGTACCCGAGGACGAGGCGGAGACTTGGTCAGCGCGAGCTTCAGCTAGCTTCGAGCTGAAATAGCCGTCCTCGCTGGTCGGGGTTGCGCTGTGGAACGGGCTCTCGGGAGACTTTCGATTTTTGCCTGATTTTTCCTTTCGCTCAGACCCGATGGCGCCGTTGGCCGCTGCGCGCAGACTGCCCAGACTGGGTTTGCTGGAGAGGCTGCCACTGCGGACAGTGGCGTCATCTCCGTCGGAAAACGTGAACTCCTTCTCGCTCGCTGGCGTGTTCGTGCCTCCGCTGCTGTGGCATCCAAAGCTACGAGTGTCGCCGCGGCGCTCGTTTCCAGCGCGAACGAGGTTGTGAACGGCGCGGCGCCGTTGGCGGGTTGCAAAGTTCTTGCTACCCTCGTGCTTGGAGGTCGGCTTGGCCACGAGATCCTCGAGCGAAGGCGGTCCACGAGGCTGACGGATGGGATGCTCACCGGCACGATTTTGGCCCGGTCCAAATGTTCCAGTGGCCGGCGTGGGCGGGAAAGCAGCAGAACGAGGACCATATCCGACGTTCGCCTTGGTGGTGTCGATGTTAGTCTTGACAGCAGGGTTGAACGACGAATTCTTCTTGTGGGCGCGGCGGAACGCGTTGGAGTTCTCATATGGCGGAGATGGCGTGCCATTCGGAGGAGAGACAGGCTGCTGCGGGAAGTGCATCGGCGACTGTGCGGACTCCGCCGGAGGAGAGATCTCTGCACGGAACTGGGGCACCTGCGAGGCAGGGGATCGGGTCTGAAACTGGGTCGAGCTGTCTTCCTGGAAGCCGTTGTCCATGATATAGCTTTGTTGACCGGTCAGAGGGTTGAAGACCGAAAAGAAGCCCGGGTGTCCAGGAACCGGCTGCACAATGGGCTGCACACCCTGTTGAAGTTGTTGCTGGTAGAAACCCATGCCAGGAAGAGAGATCGAAGGAACAGATTGCTGCTGAGGCACGGGCATGCTGCCCAGATTCAGACCTTGGAATTGCTGAGCTGCAGCCGTCACGCTGATCAACTGCTGTTGTAGGCGCTGCTGCTGTGCCGCCAGAAAAAGATTGGTCGACATCAATTCCGCGTACATGTTTTCATCCACGGACTGGTCGCCGCCCATATCGATTATCGGAGGAGCAAGCACCTGCTCGGGCAGCATGTACATCGGACGGTTTTGTTGTGTCTGGTTCGTGGCGTACGCGTGCTGCGGGAATCCAGTGCCTGTCGCAGTCTGAGGAACACGATCAGCACCACGGTTAGACAGACCATATTGCCGACCGCTGTCCATGCCATTGCGCTGCTGGTGCTGGGAGGGGATTGTCGCGGATCGGGGCGCAGTGCGCAGTCCAGCCAACAGATGCGAGCGACTAGTGCGAGGCGTAGAGATTGGAGCCTGCGCCTGGAACTCGTCGATAGTGGCCACCTGGGGAGGCACACTCAGGCGCTTGATGTGGGAACCCTTCCCTCGTGAGGCAAAGCCGGAGCTTGGAACGCCGAGGGAATTGCCATTGTTGAAAGAAGAGTTGTACGTCATTTGAGCAAGACCGCCAGCGTTCATACTCATATTTCAAAGGGGGGTATGTGCACTGAGAGCGTTTCTCGATCACAAAGTCGTTTCACAGGCGTTTGGGGTCAACCACAAAGCCGGTATTGTGAAAAAGATTGATTAGGTAGGAATTATGAGGTCTATGGCGAGAACTCGGCAAAAAACCGAGTGTCGAAGGAATGAGTGGTTGCGAACGTCAAGATGTCTAGCCAGCAGTGAGAAAACGGTTAGTCAAGGATCACCAGAGAGAAGATCAGCACTTACCGATCGCAACGCGATGAATGCAGAAAAGCAAGTCGCAGGCTCAATGAGAATGATGAATCAAAAATGCCAGTATTATCAACCTGTACAGGGAAACAAGTTCGAGGGCGAAGCCGAGGGATAGTCCTGGATGAACCCAAGTAACGATGAAGCGACGGGAAGCACGAGCGGACGTCCGAAGAAATTAAGCGGGTATCAAAAGTAATTCTTTCACAGAGAACGTGAAAGAGGAAAAGGAAGAGAAAAGGGAGGTGCTCTGCACGTCCCAGATGAAACAAAAATAGAAAAGGTGTTGACGCGATGCAGAGGCGAAATGGACTCGGCAGAGGCTGAAACACCGACCCGGCAACAGGGTAGCAACAAACGCTACGGCGAGAAGAAAGACACGAAAAGCGAAGCTCGGGCTTTCGCTGCGTGGTGATCAATGTCGAAGTGTCCTCGGGGTGGGATCTCGACCAGACGCGAGCCAAACGATTTTCTTCTCAGGGGGCGGAACGAATCGGAGAAACTATTTGCAGGGGGTTTGATGTTTTTTTGAAGGGTGAGTTTTCAAATAAACGACGATGGCTGCCGAGAGAAGGAATAAATGCAGGACGGAAGGGAGGGAAAAACGAAAGAAGCGAAGATTAGATGGAGTTGATGGGGGAAAGGAGAAGAGAGGGGGGTGAGGAAGAAGAAGAGGAAGAGGCAGAGGCAGAAGAAGCGAAAGGGCGAGAACGAGACGGTGTGGGGAACACGTGAGTGCCTGAGGCAGAAACACTGGTGGATCACGAGATCTCATGCAGAACACGATCGATCAACTACCTAGTATACGGCTGCTCTCATCATAGTAGTTATATGTACAACTGTATATTCTTCCATATCATCGTTGAAGGTTGTTGGTCCATCATGGTGGCAACCCGCCCAGCCAGTCCCGCAGCCCCGTTGAGCCCCCACGAGTGACGAGTGTTGTCCTGTCACACTGTGCCGCCAGTGATTGGATAGCTCCCCTTCGCGCCCTGAAGCCGCCGAGGGCCTGCGCCAAGTCCCTGCCAGCGAATCACGTCGCAGTTCTGGCCTTTCGCCTAACAGATGATTCGACTGTTAGGCGGAGAGATGCCTGTCTGACCTGCAGCTAGCGGTGCCTAATCAAATATACGATTGGGGTCCGGCCCACGCGACTTTGCACAAGGTAAAGGCTGCCTAGCTTCCCTCGTGTCTATCACCCTTGCAACTATCTGCATAGCACATCAGCTAGGGCTTGTATCCCAAATCGTTATCTATATCCCGCGCGTAGCTTACTGCTGTCGACCTATCGAGGTGCATTCATCTAGAAGCTCTCAATGACGCTATCGCAGGCTCAATTTTATCCTCTTTTCAAACAGTTGACTTAGAATAGATTATAGTCTTTATCGAGTCGTAAACACTATATATGATTAGTAGATTATGAGGAAACGGTGCCAGGAAACTTATTATCCGCCGTGTTGCACTATTGCAATATTAGATGCATAGTAAGGGAATGTTGAGTAGTGAGTTCCTACGAGCGAACAAAGGGGACGAATCATTATTGCCTACTGCTTACAGGGCTACTGTTCCTTTCACCAATACCTTCGCTATCATGAACATGGTAAACTCGAAGCGCAACACTCACGACTGCAAGGCTCGCAGCGCCGCTCAGAGCAGGGCACAGCACCCAGCCGCCGGCCGCCGGTCTCCGGGGAGTGGCGTTAAGAACGTCTAAATAAACAGCTAGTAGTTGTCCCTACGCGCCGATTTGTTTTCTGACAAAGCGACCTGATATCATAATACCTCAAATCGCTTTCTTGACTGAGACGAATGTACGCGTATACCGGTGACGGACGGTGAATCTATCGATGATTTTGGACGTGTTTCATCAGGACCTACGCGCCTGCGTAATGAACTGTTCTACCTCACACCCGCTTGTAATATGATAATGGTATCCTCCTAATGAGTATCTAATGACCCCTCAATTTCTAGGATGTTTGTGCATCAATAAGTATCTTACAATGGCGATCTCGATGATCAATCAACTCTTGGAATCCCTTATCTATTGCGTCGCCCAGCTTAATCTTGGCTGTAATCATTTTTTCAGGCCTCAGTTGACCTGCAGGTTGATTAGTATATTTATCTCCCTTCACGATGGAAGAACTTACCATTGTTCAATGCCTGAATCACCTCCTTGAACGACATCTCATCATACAAAGCAGCACCCATATAATTGACTTCCTTGTATGTTAGGTCATTGACGTTGACAGCGGGTTTGTTCTCCCAAACTGCTATGTTGACGATTGTCCCATGAACTCGGCATGCTGGTATTACTCCATTGAGCGCAATTTCAACACCTGCCGTGTCGAAAATAACATCCACTCCCTTATTCTCGGTCACCTTGAATACCTCTTCTGGGACGTCTAATTCACGAGGATCAAAGATGTTATCAGCACCATAGTGCTCGGCGAGTTTCTTGCGGTTATCCATAAGCTCCACGACTACGATCCTCTTTGCGCCCTGCAGTTTGAGGATTTGGATCACTGCAATCCCAATTGGTCCGGCTCCCAAGACCAGCACACTATCGTTAACTTTGAATGGAGAAATCTTGACTGCATGCCAGGCCACCGCAAGCGGTTCGATAAGTGCTGCCGTTTGAAGGGAGACATTGTCGGGCAGTGGGTAGTAGTGTTCAGCCGGGGCGACTATGTGATGGGACATGCCACCGCCGTACCCTAGCGTATGGTCAGTAAACTATACATGGCCACCCTGGGAAATAGCGCACCACTTAGCCCAATAAATCCAATATTCTTGCAGCAATGTCTACATCCTTGCTTGCAGGCTGCACATTTCTCGTCGAAAATTGTGGGTCGAACGACGGCTCGTTGACCAGGAACAAGATGCTTGACATCCTCTCCAACTTCCTCTATTGTGCCGCTAAACTCGTGGCCCATGGTGATGGGAGATGTCTCTCCAGTGATGGGATGCTCGGTCTTAGGAACCAGAACAGGCCCAGAAGTATATTCGTGAAGATCTATTATTGCATCAGTATGCCGCGTTGCAAAGCTCCAACAAGGTCGATGGAGTATACCGCTTCCACATATCCCCACATAGACAGGTTTCATCTGTGTATGCGAGTTAGATTATGCCCTTATGACCATCTGAAGAAATCAAACTCATCATATTACCTTTACATCACCCTTCCCACACCGTGGCTCTTCAAGTTGGTCCACGCGAATATCTCCGCGTCCGTGAAATCGAACGGCTGTCATACTTGTTGCCTAAGAAGAGTTGTTTCAACTGGTTGGATTCAGAAGTATGTTATTTCGATGCTTTCATTGCTCACAATGCGTTGCGACTCGCGAGGATTTAAATACTGGCGACGTGCTCACGGTGGCAAGATGGCGGACGATTCTGCCAACCCAAAATGGCCATATCTTGGAACACGCAACCCGGCAGACCCAGCGATTTCAAGAACAAGTCTCAAATCAAAGATAAGTGTGAGCTATGTGCCTGTGACGTCGGGGTGAAATCATCTGGACCAGGGTCATAGAAAAGAATATGTATGACAGTGATACCCCTTGAAAATACCAGGGAAATAGGATCCGCCCACGTGTTACTTAAGACTCCATCTTCATCAACATGGATCTCGCTATGAATCACTATCACATCATTGTCATGACCCTGATTGAACCGCCAAGGCTTCATCGTGCTACAAGGCCCCCATCTTGCTACAAGGCCCCATCGTGCTAAGCCAATCAGATCCAGAGAAACCAGTCAATCATACCCCGTGCGGGGTTTTGAAAGACGCTGCCGGATTTGACCCATGCCATCAAATACGGGCAAGTAATTTTCACTAGGTTTGCGTACCTAATTCTCAGCGAACGATGAAGAAGGGAGTGGACCCCGCGGAAATAGCCACTAACATAAGTGGGCCTTTACTCGTCGACTGTATCCAGATCATGATTTGCTGTTAATTTCATTTCACATTCCACTAGCTACCGACCCTTGTTCGAGAAACATGCTCCAGGGCACTCGCCCTAATGAATGTCCATGCCAAAAAAAGCGAAAGGTTCAAGCAACATACTTCAAGAGGTATTATAAAGTTGCAAGGTACCAAAGGAGAACTCAAAGAATCAATATAGCTTAAGTCCATCGCATCTAGGTTGGGCATGATGGTGTTGACCTGCCGTCTTTGTCGTGGTATCCCAGACCTTCGATGTTACATAATGGTCTTCGAGACATCGGCTGGTAGGATGGCTTCAAAGAAAACCCCATCAAACGTCACCTCCCGTCCTGGGGTGGACGATACGTCGAATGATTTAGACATTGTAAATGGCAGTGGCTACACAAAACACAAGGTGAAGAGAAGGTACCGTGAGGTCTTGACAGAATCCTTGATTTTGGCAGCCCCGTGTGTATTACCGGTCAAAGATGGAGGGCGCAGCAGCGGATAAAGGATCCTGTTATAGTTATAACAAAAGCAACAAAGGGGCTACAACGCTATTTCGAGTGGTTCCGGGTAGGCGACTCCGCAATGTGTCATCAGCGGACAACGATACAAAAATCTAATGAGATAATCCATTCGCAGCATTTGGAAAATACCTCCAAGCCCCAGTCGCGCTTCGGCGTACGAGGCCCACAGGATCTTCGATCTCCCCCAACCCTTATTGGCTGGAAAAAAAAGCCAGCCAAATAACCACAACCGCGCCCAGTCTGCATCATTCTCCACACAAGCCTCTTCCGAGGAGGTAACATCCACGGCTTGACACCGTCCTCTAGTGGGACTGGTATTTTTGACCGACTAGATCTGTTGCAACCTGAGCTCGAATGATGTACCTGCAGCTAGACGAGTGATCCTCCTGTGACTGGATTTTGAATTTGATCGTGTACAGTGGATCCGAAATCCATTGCGAACTATGTAGGTAGGTAGGTACCTTTGTTACTTGGATGACATCACTAAACTGAAGCTAGGAATTACCTTCATGCCATGCTAACAACCACAGAGAGCTCGATAGAAAAAGTCTTGCTACATGTTTAGCACATCAATGAAGCTATCAAAGAGGCCATCAGGATAGTCCACGGGCGCAGCATCTGCGACATCTTCAAGCGCGCCTGACTCGACCCCACCACTATCTCCATCCCCGACCGATCCGTCGGACCGCGTACTAGCCGAAAACGTTGGTGATAGACATGGCACCACGTTGCTGTTTGCTCCCAGCACCTTCTGAGGCATCAGCGGGAGCTGTAGGTTGATCTGCTGGTCGTCGCATTTTGTTGCATGCTCAAATATCTGGTTTTTGAGATGCCAGATCTCTTCTTTCAGCACGTTCACTTGCGCCAACAGCGCCTCGTGTTTCGCAGTCTCGCTGTCTAGAACGCTTTGGATCTGTTTGTGCTCCTCCTTCTTCTTCATGCGGCATTTGTTCGCCGCAACACGGTTCCGTTCGAGGTGTCTCGCCCTTCCGGGGCTGACATCATGGCGTGAGATGTAGGGCTTCGAAGATCGGCGGGTCTTTCGGGCGAGGTGCGGTTGAGGCTTGTATTCTGGGTTCGCGCGTAGATGATTTTCGGAGCTGGCTTTTTGCTCGTTCAAGCTTTGGATCAACGATCCTTTGTCACTCTGAGATATGTTTAAGGGATTGAGCCAGAGGCCCGTCGGATCTTCGAATGTTGGTGGCAGTCTATCTGGTGTGCTCGAGAAGAGATTGGTCATAGTCGGATTTCCGAGCAGCGCAGCCATGTTGAGTAGGGACGCAGTGGAGACAAATCAATTTTCAATTGATGAATATTAGGCAGATACTTTAGGCTGGGCAAAAAGCATCGAGAAAATCACTGAGAAGACATTCACGGGAGATTGGACAGTTTATTTCATATACGATCGCAAAGTACAGAGCCGGGGGTTCCGGATTAAGAGCCACAAATTCGCGATGGAACGTAACCGGGGTCTGATACAGCCCGGATAAAGCTTGGAAGCAAGCGCGGGGTGTTTGCCACCACTGCTTGTGGACAGAATCTGGTGCTATCGCCAAATCACGGCCAGGACAGAAGAGACGGCCTATGTGAGCCGACAATGACGAATGGACGCGAAAGGCTCGAACCAAAGAAAGCTCGAACCGGAGTTTAATGCCAAAAGTCCCCGTTTTCGGGCCCAGAATTGTAGAGATCAGTCGATGCGGGAAGCAATTCTGGGGGAGGAACTCAAAACATACGTGGAGCGAGAGTGGTTGATGACGAGCACTGCACGTGGTGAATTCCGGTTTTACAAAGTTCTCTTCAAATGAAAGGTTTTAATTACAGTTTGTTCCAAAAGAACGGGGCTTCAACCTTGCTTTGCTTGGACTTGGGAAGTGTGGTGATATCATATATCAAAATAGTTGAATGTGCCCTGATAGGTCGATGGCAGGAAGATGGTACGTGCGCAGCCGGAAAAGGGAGCCGTGTGGGACGTCCCATGGTCTAGAACCCTAAGCGGTCAACAACCTCCCGAGGACGAAATGTGGGAGTTAGAGAACCAGATATTCGAGCACGCCGGATGTAGGGACAAACCGGTCAATATGCATCTAGAGACAATGGTTGGATGTCCTTAAGTTCCTCAGAGAACACTCGCTTTGGCCCTTCATTCCCTCCCCAACAGGGTACCTCTTGCGAAGCCGCCAGCAACCCCCCGAAAAGTTCTAGCTGCTGAGAATATCGATCGCGCTCGCGGGAATGGGGGCATAAAACAATGCTGAGATTCATTCGATACTGATTTCATTACATTTGTTGAACACAACTGGACACACTCTATAAGATGCCCCTTTTTTTTCCCCTCTCAAAATGTACCCGACCGCCGCAGATCTAGCTCAAGCTATTTTAAGAGCTTGTCACACCGAAATCTATTCAACGGGAGAGTCGTGTTCGAGATGCAGCAATCATAAAACCATGAGACGGGTTTTACCGGGCTGCGCTTCAGGTACTCGGACCTGCACTGAACATCACTGGTGACTGGTCCACCGGGTCAAAAGGACGCATCGACCTACGACTTGGTTGATCCCTCAAATAATTCGAGAGAGCGACAGACTGAAAGGGCCTATTCGTTGCGATCGGTAGCTATGCTCGATGGATCCGAGAGGGATAAATAAAAGGTTGGGTAATCATCAACTGGTTCAGTGACTAGTACACAAGTAAAGAAAATACATCGCACCGGGGTGGCTGTTCGTCGCTATGTACAAGCACACTCAATCATGGAACACTACAAACAAAATAACACCCCCGCAAAGGAAATGACAATGTCAGTCAGTCATACTCGCCGACACAATAAACAATCAAACCAGAAGAGAAAAGAAATCGGGGTATCTGCTGGGCATGAGGAGACAAGACCAGACGGAAAAGAGTTCGTAAAGGAGAAAAAATTATGAATCCACGGACATCGGGCCAGGGAATGTGGTTGCCTCGGTCTTTAATGGTCGACGCTCTGGTTCGGGCGACGGGCCTTTGCCGTTGAGCCGATCGAACTCGAGGGTTTCGGCCAGCTCGGCCGCCATCGGGTCCAACTCTTCTTCCTTGAGACCGGTGGCCAGGGCCACCAACTTGCGGTGCACATCGAACTTGGTGCTCACACCCGCATCTGCGGTTTGCTGCGCGAGGTCGCGAACCGCCTCGTGACGAGCCTTTTGCGCATTGCAAAGCTCTCGAGCTAGCTTATACCGGGCCATCAGGTCGGAGGAGGAAAGAGAGGAGGCAACCTCGGAGTCCCGCGGGGCCCCAGTGGTGAGCAGTTTGGAAAGCTTCGCGTGTTGTAGCTGTTCGAGCAGAGACTCGTATTTTGCCTTTAGTTTATCATACCGGCCAACCTGGCTATCGCTGGGCTCATACTCGGCCTCCTTGGCCGCCAGGGCGGCAACCTGCTTCTGGATCTTCTGGCGATCCGACTCCAGTTGCTCATACAGCGCCTCCGGGTTGGCGACATCATCGGAATCTTGGTGGCTGATCTTTGAATTGCCGTAAGTGACGGTAAGCTTCTTGTTTGCCTCTGCCATGATCGCGCCAATCTTGGAAAGCAGGTCGGAGGTCACAGAGTTATCCGGCAGCGGAGCAATCGTTGGGTTATCTGAGGCTTCAATACCACCTGTGTCGCCGTCCAATTGGTCATTTGCCATGGTCACCGATGACGGGGCAGGCATAATATCATGCTCGGGGTTATGAGACCGCTGCGTGATGCTGGAGGCCGTTTCGCCTTTCTTATTCACCATATCACCCGCCCGAGGGCAGTGCATGAGAAGCATGTTCACCAGGCGGAAAGCACCATTGCGCGCAGCCACGAGCGCGGCCGTGTCCCCGTTGGAGTCCTGACATGACAACAGCAGATCGATCTCATCCTGGGAAATTGTCTGAGAGAGCTTATCCAGCAGCACCTCGCAGTAGTACCGCGAGCTTTTCCATTTTCCTTTGCTCCTGGTTGTTTCGGCGATGTGGTGGAAAAGTGTGGCGCCGAACCAGTCCCGGAAGGAGACAGTGTCCAGCAGCAGGTCCAACAGGGCCGGGAAGGTTCTCTTTTCGTAGTTATTGGTAAATAGAACTGCGCGAACAAGCGGAGTCTCTTCGTGAACCGACAGTGCCTTGACATCAGCTCCTCGTCGGAGTAGATCCTGCACGATCTCCAGATCACCCATGGCGCACGCCCAGTGAAGAGCTGTGTTCCCCGAATCGTCGATAGGCCGGTCTACCTGGAATTGAGCCGGTGGCTCCGGCGGCGGGATGCGAGTGGCTTCTGGAGCGTCCCCAACGGTCATGAAATAGTCCAACAGCTGATCGCCATAGATGATGTGTTCTTGTTCGCTGATGGACATGGCCGTTTCCTCGTTCATCCCGCGCTTCCGCTTTCGTGAGTGGCCGCCGTGCTGAGACATTTGAAGCATATCCTCGTCTGCCACCATGGACGATGAATCGATGGTCGCTCGCTCGATGGATTCGTTGTCATCAAACTGGGCACTCATGTCGTAGTGATCATGCGGGAGGGTTGGCGGGCCCATGCTTCGTTGAGACTGAACGACATTGAAGGCGGCCTCCGATTTTGCAGCGGCGCGACTGGCGGCTGATTTTCTCGGAGCTCTTGGTTTGGATAGAGCGGATGAATGCTTTGGGGCTGGCGGGGGACTGCGATCTCCCGGCACATAATCGAATATGGCAGTAAGCTTGCTTAGGATATTGTTGCGTTCCGCCAGCACGCGGCCTTCTGGGAGGGGAATCCATGTTCCTGGTTGCTCGGATTAGCAGGCAAGAAGAGGGCGGCAAATGGGCACAACACGAACCCTGGTATTTGCCGTATCCGCCCTGCACCTTCTCGTGCACTCCCTTCTGTACTTCCCTTTCTAGAATTCTCGTTCTTGCCGGCTTGTCAAATCCCGCCGCTTTCAGGATATGGGTCGCATTAATCCAGTCATCCGCCCTCCTGCGCATCACACTGTCGTTGGCAATTTTGAATTCGTACACGGGGACCTAGTAACAACACAGTCAGACCAAGCCATCGAGAGCATCAAGAGACACTTACACCACTATAGGTGGCCGAGTAGATCGACTCCATCCCCGCCATGATGGGCGTGGTGAGCGGCTAGGCGCCAGGCAGGTCTCAACTAGAAGCAACCCGCGACGATTCACAAGTCAATTGAAGTAAGAGTGTTGGAGTGGGCGCATTGCCTGGTCCAAAAAATCAACGCAGCACAGGTTCAGCCGGTGGACCGAGGGTGAGGCATCCTCAAATTACGCGACGTGACACGCGTAAATGGATTTTGCGTGACAGCGCCGTGATTAGTCAGGGAATGGTCTCGTGATGCGCACGTGACCAATCAGGTGAAGGAAGGAACTCGGGCAAGGAAAGCATTACCCTCGTGTTGTCCTGTCTCTACCCTCCACACTTTGCCATTGTGCATCGACTGTCTGCCACAATGACCGTCACCGAGTCGCTGAAGAGTGTCGTGGGCTTGGGGGAGAATTCTGGTGCGTGAATTGGCCACCGTCCACCTGCTGAGATGCCAGCTACTGACCATTTTGACCTCGCAGCATCCCGCCAGGAAATGTCCGAGGCCCGTCTTCCCATGCAGTACCGCGACTCATGCGCCCACCTCCTGATCCCATTGAACCGATGCCGACAAGCAGAGTACTACCTTCCCTGGAAGTGCGAGGTGCGATCTGCAGTCATTCCCACCCGTCTCCCCTTTCACTCATGACTAACCGATAACTTTACAGGATGAGAGACATTCCTACGAAAAGTGCCAGTACGAAGAGTTCAAGAAGCGGGTGGCCAAGATGGACGAGCTGCGCGCGGCCAAGGACGGCGCGCGGAGCAACTAAACGACGGAGCGACGGAGCTTGCGGGAAGATGGTCCGGACTGCTAGTCAGGCCAGCCGGCCGTGTATATAGAGACGTCGAGAGACTGCGGATGGACTGTTTCTGGGTTTGGGTTCTTCCGCTGCGCCCGCCGACTGGGAGGATCGCTGGTGATCCTCCAAGATGCCTAGGCTCCCCCTCAGATACCTAATCTAGGCACAGTTCGCGGAACCTAGGTCCACTGCAAGTGTACCTTTTCAAGTTGAAATTCAATCAATCGTCATGGAATTTGTCAGCCACTTCTATCTGTCAGCCTCGTATAGTTGATCCGACGCCCGTCTTATTTGCCAGCTGCATCTCCCGGGATCCGAGTCCCGCCGCCGGCCAGTGTGTCTCACCGCGCGTTGCACTGCAGGCGCCCCAATTTCTATAGACATCGTATTTAGAAAAACCTATGGTTTATAGTCAGCGTCACACTCCGACACGAACGGCGCAATGGATTCCTCCGTCACATGACCCCTGCTTAGAAATCGACTTGTTATCGCCGAGAAGATCTTCAACCCCCGCCGTGGGAGAGCATCGGGAAATTTCCCCCACATCGAGAATTGAAAAGAACCCGACCGAAGGCCATGTGCTGACGGGCCTGATCTGTTCGAGGTTACTGTCGTGGTCGCTGCGGAAGACTGTCCTTGCCCTCTCACTGCCACGAAAGAAAAAGTGCAAATAGAAAAAAAAAATGGGTCTCTTGTATGCGCATCATCCTTTCGACTGCACCGGGGAACACCACTAACCCTGCACCACAGAGCACTCGGCACCGCGCTGGAATGGCCAGAGGCGAAGAAAAAGGCCTCTCAGGTGCGCCAGTGGGGGATCGAGGTAGGATGCGACTCAAACGGCTTGGAAGGAAAGTGCTAACGGGACTAGCAACTGCTCGCTAATTGGAATAGAGCAAAGGGCAAGGAGCGTGATGCTCTTCTATGGGGTGATGAGGTACTGTCATTTGTTCAGTGTGTCCATCCAGAAAGAACTTCGACTGACAATTGCAGGTCGAATACCTCGTGGTAGCCCTCGACGACGCCGACAAGAAATCGCGGCTCTCCCTCGCCCAGGCGGATATCCTCAAGTCTCTTGCCCGAGACGAAGCTTTGTGGAAGACGGGCTCCTGCCATAACAATAATAGTGAACAGTGAGTTGGGTCGACTCAATGATGGAAACCAGCACCTGACCTGTACTAGTGATGGCGAAGATCCGCCTCATTTTCACCCGGAATTCGGAAGGTTCATGCTGGAAGCAACTCCCGGTCGTCCGTGGGGCATTGGGTTTAAGGACCTGCTCAAGGTGGAATCCAACATGAAGTGGAGGTAAGTCACTTTCAGATCAATGGATCGACAGCTCATTGACAGGCCGCCAGACGAGAGGTCGCCAAAGCGCATATGGCAGCCAACGAATTTCCTATTACTCTCACCACATTTCCGCGCTTGGGAACCAAGGACGATTATATCCGGCCATACTACCCTCCGTCCGGCCCCGCACTTCGCTCGCAATTTGTTCCAGACGAGATTGCTAATCCCCATATCCGATTTCCCACTCTCGCAGCCAACATTCGATCACGACGGGGGCGAAAGGTGGAGCTGAATGTGCCTATCTTCAAGGATGGTAATACGCCACGACCCTTCAAAGACCCGACTGTCAATTACGATCTTCATAAATGGCCGGAGGATGACGATGTGCGCAATGGTGCTGCCAAGGATGATCACGTCTATATGGATGCCATGGCATTTGGAATGGGCAGTTGCTGTCTGCAAATCACTTTTCAGGCCAAGAATATGACGGAGGGCAGGCGGCTCTATGATCAGTTAAGCCCGTTGGGCCCGATCCTGCTTGCTCTCACGGCCGCAACTCCCATTTACAAGGGATTCCTCGTGGACACGGATGTACGGTGGAACCAAATCTCAGGAGCAGTCGATGACCGGACCCGTGAAGAACTTGGTGAAGCCGTGAGTTATATGACCGTACGCTCATCATCATTTAACTGACAATTGGTTAGCCTCTCAAGAATGATCGGTGGAGGATCCCCAAGTCCCGATATGCCTCGAACTCGACTTATATCTCACAAGACCCGCGGCTGCGGAAAGAGTACCTCGATCCAGACTTGGTCGTCGATGAGGGTATCAAGAAGCGGTTGATGGACGGCGGCATGGATGAACTGCTAGCCACGCACTTCGCACACCTCTTCATTCGCGATCCCTTGGTCATCTTCTCCGAGGATCTGGAGGAGCTCGACGTTAACAAGGCTGACCATTTCGAAAACCTGCAATCCACTAATTGGCAGCACATGCGCTTCAAGCCACCACCACCAGAGTCCGATATTGGCTGGAGAGTCGAGTTCCGATCCATGGAGATCCAAATCACTGATTTCGAGAACGCCGCGTTCAGCATCTTCATCGTCCTCATTACCCGGGCCATCTTGAGCTTTGATCTCAATTTCTACATCCCCATTTCGCGGACCACCGAAAACATGGAGACAGCCCATGCCCGCAATGCTGTCCTGGACCAGAAATTCTATTTCCGCAAGGATCCCTTCCCCCGACGAGCACCGAAGAACGCACACTCGATGAATGGTGGTAGTGCTTTCTCCTCTGCATCATCCTCCGCCGTCAACACGCCGCCTCCCTCCCCGCCCCTCGGTCCCGTGGAGAGCGAGTACGAGCTCATGACTATCTCGGATATTGTCAACGGCTGCTCGGACGGGTCATTCCCAGGGTTGATCCCGCTCGTCGAGTCGTACCTAAATAGTGTGAACGTGGACGTCGAGACCCGCTGCTTCTTAGCCAGATATCTCGATCTTATCCGCAAGCGCGCTGACGGCACGCTCTGGACTGGCGCGCGATGGATCCGTGAGTTCGTTGCCAAGCATCCATCCTACAAGCGTGACAGCGTTGTGTCTGAGGAAATATGCTATGATCTGGTGAAAGCGGTCGAGGAGATGACTGGCAAGGAGGGACAGCAGGGCTCCGTGGGGTGGGAGATGCTTCGCGGCAGAAAGAGCTAGAACAGATAGAGTTTCTTGTGTGGATGGATGTCTGAGCATATTTTTAGCATAGATGGAGGATGACCTTTGTTATTCGTCATATATTTGGGACTTTTTGTCCTTGCAGTTCACCTTTTTTCGCATAGTAAGTTTTGGATATTGTCTGTCATTCTAGAATACCGAGGGTGTCTATCGGTGATGACGGATTGATATCCGGTTCTTCAAGCACATCATCACCACGTCGCATTGCGCCTTTGCAAAATCACCACAATCCCCTCCTCGGAGTACATAGTGTGGTCTCCATTCACGACTAGGATTATTCTGGCTGAAATGTAACCCCTCAACTGGTTCCAATCAGAGGAGAGCAGGCTGGATCCCACGACTTCGAAACAATCCATACATATGATGGGCACGGGCGGGGAAGCATCTCATCTCACAAATCCGTGACGAAAATTGCGAGGGGGCGTAATCACTTCCAACGCAGTAGCCTGGATTGCGAAATCTCTCGGGCCAAATGCTTCATAGTGCCAATAGCGGAGCGTTTGTGGCACGGGGAGCGCGTAATTTTAATAATGTAGTTTTCTCTAAGACCATTTCTCCCTTTCAAACAACTACGGAGAAGTTCAGTGAAAGGCATTATGTCTGACAGTACGATCCAACGCGTAGCTATCATTGGGGCTGGCATCAGTGGGGTTGTCAGTGCAGGCCATCTCCTCGCCGCAGGAATAAACGTCACAGTCTTCGAAAGAAGCAGAGCAGCGGGCGGGGTATGGTAAGAATTCCCATTGTCTCCAACAGTTACCAATATGCTAACCAATGTTGCATGCAGGCTTTATGATAAGAGAGTTCCTATCGAAGTTCAGTACCCATGTATCAAACCGTCGGATGTGGAGAAGTACGGCCGAGATGAACGTGATGAGAGGGAAAGGCAACAGCTGATACACGCTCCACCAGGGTTTGTTGAATTCGAACATTTTGCAGATAGGAAATGCTAATGAATACGCTAGGCCCTGCTATGAGAGTCTCAGGAACAATGTGTCCACTCCATTACTACGTACAACTCTTAATGCTTGGCCAGAGGGAACTCCGCGCTACGTCAATCACCGTGTGCTCAAGGACTACATCCAAGATACCTCCAAGAGGGCAGGTGTTGATGCTGCAACGATTTATGGCGCTTTAGTGACAAGGGTTTCCAAAAATGGACAAAAGTGGCATGTGGTTTGGAGCTCGTTACATGAAGATAGTCATACGAAAAGTGTCGTTGAGCAACAACAAACAGAGGTGAGGGACGAACGCTTAAGTCTATTAAAAGGAAATTGCTCACAGATAATCTAGATATTTGATGCGGTTGTGGTGGCATCAGGCCATTACCACACAACAATGATTCCGGATATTCCTGGACTAGCTGAAGCAAAAGCCAAGTGGCCGTCAAAAATTACACACTCAAAATCCTTTCGAAATGCAGAAGGGGTTGAAGGAAAGGTATTTTAAAACCCAGAGTAAAATCCCGAGCTCTACCTACTCTCATTGCTAATCTTCCAACAAGACCGTGCTTTTGATCGGCGGGGGTGTATCTTCAGTGGATATAGCCCGGGAGATCAGTCCAGTCGTCCAGAAGGTATATCAGAGTACTCGAAATGGTGCATTTGATGTCCCAGCCAGCGCACTGCCAAAGAATGCGACTAGAATTGAGCAAGTGGCGTCATTTGAAATGAATTCAACAGATACGGCATCCCTAGAGACTCACTTACCTCTTACTGTTCGTCTCAAATCTGGCCAAGCCCTCAATAACATTGACAGAATCGTTCTCTGTACGGGGTATCAGATGGTTCTGCCATTTCTTCCAGAATATACCGACCATGGCGAGCCGGTTGCCTCGCCCGACTCGGTGATTGTGACGGATGGCGCCCAGTTCCACAATTTACATCGCGACATATTCTATATTCCGGAGCCAACCCTGGCCTTCGTGGGTGTTCCCTTCTATACGGCAACATTTACTCTTTTCGAGTTTCAAGCCATTGCAGTCGCAGCATTGTTCTCTGGAGTGGCGCAGCTCCCTTCGGTCGAGAGTATGAGGATGGAGTATAAAACCCGAGTTGAAACCAAGGGCCATGGCCGAAGTTTCCATTCGCTCAGGGGTGAGGAAGTGGACTATGTTAAGCAAATTATCGACTGGGTGAATACCGGTAGATCTGCGCATGGCTTGCCGTTGATTGAAGGACACACTGCTTCTTGGTTGGAGGAAAAGAATGTTCACGTTGAAAGACTTATGCTGATCTGGCAAGGAGCAATCCCATATGGGAATACGGACGAAGCCGCCCCCTCGGGGGTGGAAGTTTCAGCATAAACTTTGAAAGAAGAAGCCAGTTTACCAGATAGTATGTTTATTTACTTATTGAGACCAGCCCTTCTATTTTCGAACCAAGGTAGATATAGCAAAGATCATAAAATCTGGGATGCTCAAAAAGCTGTTCTACATTATCAAATTCCCTTTTAATCCAACAGTTTCTCATCTTCCGTCGGCCTTCGACAAGAATCCGCCAATCCAGTCACCTTCCACTCGCCATTCAATCTATGCAAAACAAAAAGCTCCACACCAACATGATCAACGACACCGTTAATTTTCGCTCGGAACGGCGCCCACACCGCAGCAAAGACCCCAGCCTCGTGCACTTTCACTTCTGGATCCCAGATGCGCTCATCGATCTCGTCTGTAACGCTGGCAACGTGTTCGACGAATGACCCGATCGTGCAGAAGCGTAGCACTGTTGGTGCTGGAGGTGAGAGGGACATGCCGCCTGCTCGGACGCAGTACTTTTCGAAGCCGACGCGGGATTTGCTATTCAGGGCCGTGAGGAAGCCCTGGATAGCAGCGATTATGGCGTCTGTCTCTTGGGAAGTAGATGAGGAAGGTTCTGGCTGAGGAGATGGTAGTGTCCAGCACATTTTGAATACTTTTTGTGACTCAAGGCATTTCTCTGGAGATTGATTTGATTGTTCTATTATGCTCTGGACTTGTTTTCAATAGACCTCCCTGACGAAAGCAACCGAATATCTAGACCCCTGCCGAACGCCTCCTCCGATCAATACGGTTACTGTTGCAGCAGTTTGGTCCAACCGCCCCTCTCCACCCTTGTACGACCATCATGACCGATGTAATCTAGTTTTGTGTGGGACAAAGGGGTGGAGTTCGTGTGTCACCGGCTAACAGAGTTTAGGCAGCTAACAGTTATGGACCGCGCCGTTGTCTCCCTTCCGTTTCCGTCCCTCGGCTCAGATCTAATCAAGAGTTATTCACTCTTAGCCGCTTTATTGTTCTCCAATGATTGTGGTTCCAGATGTATTTGAAGAACAGTGACTTATCATAACTTTGTGCACGCACTTCGGAGAAGATCAGAGTCTTTCATAGATGATAGAATCAACTCAATGTCCCTGCATCTACGACCTCGGCTGTTTCTTGGTAATTTGCTACGTATATATAGACTACGTCAGTCCGCTTTCGGCCTAGGAGGAGCAACAAACGTCGTCTTTCCGGATCCTTCAAATGGCTCATGATATTCAGCCTCGTTTTGTACCTGTTACAGCTTATTTTCCGGTTGTAATAACCAGAATGATGGTTCTCAACATCAACAGTCATTCTGGACGTTCAAGTTGAGACTCCCAAATGCTGTGACCAGCTCCGAGGTCATCAACCCTAAACACCCCCACCGGTAAATCCTCGGTGTATTATGCGGACAAGCATCGACCTAAGCCAAAAGCAAACACAAGCCCGCTGCCCTTGGACGCTCCGAAACGGCCTTCTCCACATCTCCACTCCCCAAACAAGAAAAAGATGGCCTCAACAAAGCCCCGACGGAACCCAGATCTCTCCCCCGCTCGGAACAAGGCTTCTTCCAAAGCCCGGATATGCCGATAAGCCCATTAATATCGACAAAACTCTCTGTAACTCCATTCCACGGCTTCCGTCAGGTCCCGGGCGCAGATCATGGACCCTTTCTGGCGAGCCCCAGAATGGGACCATGGTCTTTCCCCGCAAAATCCTCATCATGATCCCTGTCAGTCATGATGATAAAAGGCGGCTGCGCGGGTGAGCGAGCAGAGTGAGAGTAAATCTGCATTATCATCATCATGTTTCGACTGGCCGTCAGATTTCTTGGTTTTTGTGCTGCAGCATATGCAGCGAGCTCGTCTCCGACAGCGACGGTGCGTAATGGCACCTACGTCGGCGTGCGAAGCACGACATACGAGCAGGATTTCTTCCTGGGTATGCCGTATGCACAGCAGCCGATTGGCACCTTGCGCTTTACGGTGCCGCAGTCGTTAAATGAGAGCTGGGAAGGAGCGCGTGATGCTAAAGAGTACTCAGATATCTGTGTTGGTTATGGGGTGAACATTGTCTTTTTCTTAGGGATGTGAACGCATTCTAACCTATACTATCCCAGACGGACTCGATCTGGTATCCTCAGTCCGAAGCATGCCTAACACTGAATGTCATTCGCGGTGCATCCGTTGATAAGAATTCCAAACTGCCTGTGGGTGTCTGGATCCATGGTGGTGGATTCGTTGAAGGGTCAGGCAGAGACCAGCGCTACAACACGTCTGCCATGATTGAGAACTCGTACCGAATCGGTAACATTTTTTCTTATTATTCTGCTAGAACCAAACCTAACCTCTCAAAGGCAAACCGTTCCTCGCCGTGACGCTCAACTACCGGCTATCTGCCTGGGGATTCATAAGCTCGAGCCAAGTCTGGGGATCAGGCAACACCAATCTGGGACTGCGCGATCAGAGACTCGCTCTCCAATGGGTGCAGGAGAACATCGGCGCTTTCGGCGGCGATCCGGACAAGGTAACTATCTGGGGCGAGTCCGCGGGTGCCATGTCAGTAGGCTATCACCTCACCGCATACGGCGGGCGCGACGATAAATTGTTCCGAGCGGGGATTATGGAGTCTGGCGGATCTATTAGTGCCAGTCCATCCAACTACACGGGCTTCCAACCCCTGTACGATAACCTCACAGCCCAGGTGAATTGCTCGAATGTGGTGGACTCGCTGCAGTGTCTGCGGGAGGTACCGTTTGAACAGCTTAATGCCGTCCTCAACGGTACAGATGGGGAATCTGAGTACAACTTTGCGCCTGTGGTTGATGGCGACTTGGTTCGCAACTGGGGAAGTATCCAGCTGGACAGGCGCGAGTTTGTCAAAGTGCCTATCCTCATGGGCAGCAACACGGATGAAGGGACTGCGTTTGGGCCGGTGGGAATAAACACTACGGAACAGTTTTATGAGTATCTGACTGGTAGGTGAACTATTTTTGAAGTGATTTCAGTTTACTGACACGACGTTAGATGGCGGTTTCGGATTCCAAACGCCACCATCAGTAGCATCGCGCATCCTGCAACTATACCCCGACATCCCATCGGAAGGTATTCCCGCATTTCTAGGCAATAAGCGGGTACCATCAATGGGACGGGAATGGCGCCGCACCAGCGCATTTGCAGGCGACTGGACGATGCACGCAAACCGACGACGACAGTGCGAGGTCTGGAGCGAAACCAGCACAGCGGCATACTGCTACCGGTTTAACGTGCACGCGGCGGACGTACCATTGCTATATGGCGCGACGCACTTTGAGGAAGTTTCTTTTGTTTTTCACAACATCGCAGGTCTGGGATATCACTACGGCAAGCCATTTGCGGGCGTGCCGCAGTCGTATATCGATCTCAGTACGATGATGACGAGCATGTGGGCCTCCTTTATTCATGACCTCGACCCAAACACGGGTGTGGTCAATCGGTCGGTGCATTGGAGTGCTTACGACAGTGACAAGCCGCAAGATCTTTTCCTAAATTCTAATACCTCTAGCCATATGGAGGCTGATACTTGGCGGAAGGGGGGATTGACTATATAAACTCGGTTGCGAAGGCTTTTTGGCGGTAGTTTGGATTGTCCGTATGTTGGGACTCGACCGATGGGAAAGCATATAGGTGTGCATGAGTATTGAGTTGGTTCATGTTGATAGCCGAATGTTGCTGCATATACGCCATGGACCCGAGAGCATCATGTATCGATTTGCAACATTCCCACCACTGCTCTAACATTCAGATAGTAAGCCGCAGTTGAAGGATCTCGCAGCCTGTAATAGCTCTACAATAATAATATCCTTTCTACAGGGTTCTCAACTGTCAAGTCACACAGGTATCGTGTGCTCCTACTTAAAATGTCATGCTGCCAAGCCCTAAGAACCAATGTCCTAGACAGGCATGGCACAAGAGGCCAATGCCACATTTAAGTTAACTGATCGACTATCAGATCACCCTGAAGCGGGCCAAACATTTCTCTGAACGGCCTAGCTAATTCCGATCTAGGCAACGGCTCAAGGAATGATGGCTGTCACGTCTTGAGTCGGAATGCGGGAAGGACATTCTCGCAGGAATGCCATGCCGCAACACAACCCCTGGCATCAACCCGGAGTCGATATTCTATTGTTGACTATTCCGACCGCCGGCCGGGGACAGGTACGATCTCTGGAACCAGCGGAGATTTAACCATGGAACCAAAGAAGGGTGAAAGTCGGACCCGAGATTCTGCAGTCGGCCGATTGATCAGATTAGTCAGAGATCCGAGGAGATGCAGATGCTGTTCTTCAAGGAAGCAGGCGAATCTTTCGGGTGAAAAATGCAACTGTTTACGAATGGGAAGCGCGGGTCGAGATCGGTGGCGCCGGTATGCTGTACAGTATAGAATACGCATTACCTTCAAGGTACATACGTACTGTACACAGTTCATTCTCAGCCCCGGAAGCCAGATCCATCCACCCACGGGAGCTTGTTGACCACCCCACCCCACTTTCGCGACTATTGGCAGCGCGCCGACGCGCAAAATACACATTGACCCCGGGTCAGCTTTTCACTAGATCTGAGATAGACTGACGCGGCTCCACCACCAGATGCAAAGCGAACATACCGCTAATGAGGCGCCCACTACTGTAAGAAAGGAGCCAATCTGCGTACTGATCCTAAAATTGGTCCTGTGCTGACGAGTCAGGGTCCTGAATCCCTGAATCCCTGAACCGCCGAATCCTGCCGGATCGCCAAACCTTCGCCCTGTCTTGTACGTACTATAGGAAACTTCATCTGTACAGATGGTATACTTGCATTACTGCTGGTCTTTACCATCCTGATCTCTCCGAAGCACAAAACTATAATCTATAGCGCGACCAGCAAGTGGGAATCCGGGACCGACGAATCCCACGGTTCACCGTCGCTAGTGGTGGAATGCGCGCAATCAGACGGCAGTATAAGCGAGAATGCGTTTCGGGCTGCGATCGTGGCACGATTAAGTATGCTTAGCTTGATCTCAGATCGATAGTTTAGTTACACGAGTAAGATACGAGGAATACGCAGAGAAGCCGTAGAAGATTGGCCATGCCCGACTGGGGTTGGCGCCGAGGGCCCGGGAGCACGGGTTAATATCGATCCACTGATGCTAGTCCTGCAATCTCTGCAGCGATCGATCCACCTGCCGTGCTGTCTTAGATGTAGTTGTCTGAAGAATAATAATGTGCAGATGAGAACGCCTGGAAGAGATCTGATGAGTCTAGACGAGATATACGGCTCTGAAAATAGAGAGCGTACTAGTGAACTCCTGGGTGAATACTACCCCTCGGGTTCATCACCCACGAACTCCTGAGGAGGTCATGGCGCGATCTCGGGCGCGCTAGCAAAACCACGATGCCGCCGATCGCTAGTGTTGCGGGGACGAGGGTTTGAGTTTCTTCACGATGGGACAAACTATTTGCATTTCTACCCCCACAACCTCATTCCCGGTAACTACTAATTCCATATTCCCATGCAGCCCAGCGGATAGTCCTTCTGCGATCGCCACCCGGCCCGACCGGAGAGAATACTATACACAGCGATAGACGATGGATTTACTTTTCGTGGATTGTTGTTGAGGCTATGTTGCCGGCCATCCATAGTTCCATCCATAGTCCGCCCCGCTTCGGCCGGGATCGGGATTCTCCGCATCTGCTGGCACATGGCAAAACAACACACCCGGATCCATCGGCGGCCTCGTGCGCTCTGTTCTAGGGAGGTCGCTTCGACAGAGAGGCACGGTGGCAATACCGACCTTTTCACCATGATGATGGCGAGTGTCCGTCATCGTCGCTGGTCTAGATGTCAATGTCGAGGAATGGTGGACGGGGATGAGTAAGCGACCGCAGCGGTTCCCCAGTTCAGCAGATCGTCCGGATACAAGGCCTGTCTGTTTGGACGTGGTACGGTCAGTCCATGACTGTACGAAAAAAGATCTCCACAGGGGTATTCCACGAGCGCAGGGGTGGCGGTTGGTGTGGTGGGTGTGTTGGAAAGGGGATGAATGAATGGATCGTACTTCTCCGGGCAGCAACAAAGCAACCCAATTTGGAAACCAGCCTGCGAAGAGACGATCCTATCAGTAGCGCAAAACCCGCCAGATCGGACCATACGCCCCAATTTTCCGACTATCTCTCCGAACAGGGGTTCCTTGCCCTTGTCTTCTTTTGTCCTGGCAAATCGCCGGCACGTAAAGCGCGCGTATAGAGGGAACTAGTGAGTCTCCACCAGACCACTACAGGGGCGGTGTGTACTTTTGTTTTTAATTGTCATTCTTCTAGTCCGGGTCTTCCAAATAATCAAAACAGCCCGCTCGCGTCGAACCCGTGGGATGGTTTAGGTTTGCGATTTGAGATTCCGATTTGAGATTGGGGTGCCACGATCGACGCCCACCCCCTGCGCCCGCATCGCGCTGGGATCGTCCGATCCCACGCAACAGGGACACGGCAACCCCGCGTGTACATATGAACACATGACAACAGGGGCACTGAAGATCAAGTGAAGTTAGAGTTGGGGGCTGCGGCTATCAACCCCGAATCCAGCAGCTGACACCGAAATGAAGGGTTTGGGAACGCTTAGTTCCATACCTAACTAGAGCGAAAGTTAGACTTACCACAAACACGGTATACTATTGAATCTACCGGGGTTGGGATCGTTTGCCACGCGATGGCTTGAGGCGAAAAGTGTATCAGTGCCGTCATTGCCATGAAATTCTTCTGTATACGGGAGAATTTCACGAGTGTAGAGATGGTAGAGAGCTTGGAAGTCTGGTTGAACCAAACAGTGGAGCCGCACGGGTCGGCCACGCTACGGCCGATACGACAACCACGCGGCGGTGGCGAAACAACAGCACATCTACAGATCGACGTCAGAACGAAACAACAACTACACGCCACCCGCAATGTATTTCCGAACAGGAAGAAATTTTTGTCATGGACCATTCGTTGATGCTAGAGGAGACAGATCGTACATACATCAGAAGATAAGACGCATATTAAAACACACATTGACGAGGGCAAGACAGGGTAATGCAGGGTATAGCCAACAACAGTCTTGCAGCAAAGCAAAAAAGAAAAGCAAAGGCGCCCGTTCCACGATCAGGCAATTGGCTAGAAATCACAATCCTGAATTTCGTCATCAACCCAAAGGAGGGGGAATCTATGCTGAAGCCATTTTTCTCCCAGAGTGCAAACGGGTATTAATAATAGGACGGAGGGATAGAGAGCCAGGGAATCAAAAAGGGAGATGAGGTAAGGGAACAACCGCCGAGACAGAAGAGGAAGGTCGAGAATAGATCCAGAATGCCAAACCAGACACAAAAATAAAAAGAAAATAACGCCTCCGAACCCTTTTCTAATCCCCGCCGGTTTAAGAACGCCACATGACAAGAATGATGAAGGGGAGTCAAGACTTCAATGGCTGGTGGGCGAGGCCGACTCGAGGACAGTCTTGGGCTTGAGGTTGGAACCCAGGGTGGCTGCCTTGTTGGCGCCCATCTTGCGAGTCAGCTTGGCGTAGTGCAGGCCGCACGCGTTACACAGCGTTCGGGCTCCATCCGGTCCCCGACGCCATTCAGGCGTTTCGGCTCGGTTACAACTGTGGCAACGACCAGGAGGGGCCGCCTTCTGCAGGAACAAGGTTAGCTCATCAAGTAGTGGAGAAGACGAAGGGAATTTCCTTCTCGGGGGGACTTACTCCACGCCGTTTCTTTGGATCGGCACCTGCAAACCCGCCGGCGCCTTTGAACTCTTCCTGGTACATAGCCATGTGTTCATCGGCATCCACTCCACCGGGCTTAAACGCCTGGCGTTGGGCCATCTGCTCCGCCAGCGCCTGTTCTTGGTTCACTACCGCCGTTCGTATCCGGATCAGGGCATCTTGGTTCCGACGCTGCATATGGAGCATATCCTCCACTTCGGCGAGCGTCGGCAGAGACCCAAGGACCGGTCCCGATCGCTGGGTCTGGTGCGCCCTCGCTGCATAATGCCGCGAGAAATCTAATGTTCGGTTGCTCAGCTCGGTAATCTGTACCCAAAATTAGCTCAATCCCACACTTCAAACAAAAATCTCGAGACATACCTCATTTAGAGACGTCTCCACATCGTAGACGTCTAGATGCCGTTTCACACTGTCGCCATGGGGTTGGCCTGGAATCGGCCGGCCCACAAATCCGCCCTTGGATTCCTCCACCCGTGCTGGGTCTGCACCGGGCTTCCATGGGGCGCCCATGTAAGGACGATTGTCATAATGACCTGGCGGATACGAAGAGGCGTTGGGTGGCGGTTGAGATTGGAAGGAGTAGTTTGTCGGAGGGAAGTGGCCATAGCCGTTGGGAGAGGCCACGCTACCCGCTGAGGTCGGCGCGCTGTAGTCGAACCCGGACGAGTTCTGTGACCCGGAGACCGAGGTTATCCCCGTCTTTGCGCTTTGTGTGGGAGATTTGCCTGAGCTGAGCGATTGTAGCGACGCATTCCGCGAGTCTTGCGTGTGAACCGAGCCCCCCTGTAGTTGAGGCTGATGGGGAAACGCCGGA